TGAGACGTCTCAAAACACTTCTTTCTTCCCAAAAAACTGACAGACTGATTAACGTGTAAGTCACAGAACAGAAAGGATGGGATTGGTATACAAGTTCCAATTCAACTAAGCAACTATATCGAGCACGCCAGGTGGTGCTGACTCGAGTTGCAACCGTAACGGCATCATTGCCATGTACGCCTCTCTACTGCCATGGCATAAAAACTGACCCATTCCGGGCGAACTGGAAGGCGGAAGAGACTCTCTTTCCTTCTCCTACTCCTCCTCCTACTCCCCCAACCCCCCATTTTTCTCCTCACCATGATCTTCCAGCAGCAGAATCACACAAGGAGCCTTGGGTCTCTCGTCTCACAAGGAACTTACTGTCCCACCAATTGCATGCCCTGTTGTCTGCCCCTCCCATTTCCCTCGGCATACTATCGTGTGCCCACCTGGTAATGCATCCCCGTGGCTATGTGCTGCACGGCAGCGATTTTATCCACACGCGCATCAGTGGCACTATCCCCAGCACAATTGGCCGGCTTTCCAACCTCCAGTACTTGTATGTGGTGCTGAGTTGTGAGCATGCAAGGGGTGGCACACATGCATCATGCATGCACACACATGCATTTATGCACATGTGTGGACACGGTCGCATGCAGGCATGCGCATGCGCACGCACGCACGCACACTCGCACACACGCACGCACGCTCGCACGCTCGCACACACGCACGCACGCTCGCACACACGCGCGCCCACGCTCGCACACGCGCGCCCACGCACGCACAATCACACGCATGCGCGCCTGGATGCACACAACCACGCACGCACACGCACAACCATACCAGTACAGAACAGTGCGTGCATGTGGCCCTTTTGAGTCACCTGACTCTCTTCTGCTCAAACCCATTCGTAATAAGCTTTTTTCTCCACAATTGATTCATCTTAGAAAAACGAAAGGGGGAAAAAATAAGGTTGCAGACTAATCTCCATGACTTGTGTCATTATCCGGGTGCCATCATGACTTCTCCTGACCCCACCTTATCCCCTCCATCTGCCCGTACTTTTCCTTCTGCCGGTCACCCCACACTGTTTCAGAATTTTCTCCAAGACCAACGTGTGTGGGTCGCTGCCAGCCTCCCTCGGTGCTCTCCCCAATCTCGTTCAAGTGTTGGCCCCTTGCACTGCATCTCACAATGCCCTCCATCACACACCACATTCTTTTGCTGTTTGTGTGTGTGTGCGTGTGTGCGGGTGGGGCAGGTGGAGGGGGGGGAGGGGTGGGGTGTGGGGTGTGGGGATGTGTGTAGAGACTCACCTGGCTGCTGCCTTGATTACGCAATTCTCTGTGCCCTGAAATCTTGCTTGCACAATTGCGACATTCCCTACTCTATTTACAATCCTGTTGTGTTAACTAACCACAGGCACACAAACGACCACACCAGTTCCACAGACACATAGGCACGCCACAGGCATGCAAAATGCCACACACATGGTTCTCATGGAAACCCAAAGTAGACACATAGCTTCGGAAGGCAAGGCACCAATGTCGAGGCACGTTCCTTGGGGACTGATATACATATTCCTTTTTTATATATGTATAAAAGGACAACAGTAAAAAAAGGAGAACCACATATCGCCTATGCATCTTTGGCCAGTCGCCTTTCGCCTTGTCCTTTCCACTCTCTTCCCCGTTACTCCTCCACACTCCCCGGCTGTCTTGCCCTTTCCAGAGACACCCCTGCAAGGGTGACATGCGGCAAGGATGGCAGCAGCTGTGGGATTCAGCAGAACGCCTCCTCCTTCTTCTGCCGGGTTCTCTGCTTTGACTTCTGTGCCTCCTGCATCCCTATCAACGGTGAAAAAGTGATATCCATGTCTCCCACTGCCAATGGAAATGCTCCTCCTGTTCCTCTGTGAAAGTCGCATTCGTCGCAACCACAGTCTTCAGTGCATTCGTGAGTCTTAGAGGCATGATCAGCCAGCATGCGATGTGACTCTGACAGTTTGTTTTAACATCACAGTTCGCCCACACAACATCTTATCTGCTCTCCCCCTCCACAATCCCTCTCTCCCCTCCTCACAGGCCAACGCCGCCACCCTCCTCCCCCTCCTCCCATCGCACCTCCTCGCCCTCCCAGCCTCGCTCTCCTGAGCCCCCCACCCCCTCCTCTGTCCTCTCTTCTTGCTGTCTCCTCTACACTCACCCCTCCTCCTGCTCCACCACCCTCCACCGGTTTGCCAACCTCTGCAATCGTGGGGATATCCGTGGGAGTGCTGTGCCTGCTTGTGCTGCTGCTGCTGCTGCTGCTGTCGTGGCTGCTGCGTGTGTGAAGCAGGGACCCGAGGGGTCGAACCTACAGCCACTACTAGCTGCCTCAGGTAAGCGCAAGTGCAGAACCATGCCACGACTTTGAGTGGTTTGGGGCATCGCTGGCTCTTAGGGGCATGCGGCATGCTGCTGCTCAGCTGCTGCCTCTGCTGCCGCCGCTGCTGCCCGTGCTGCTCCTGCTGCTCCTACTGCCCCTGCTGCCCCTTCTGCCCCTGCTGCCCCTGCTGCCGTTGTTACCATTATCATCATAGATCCTCGTTCGAAGCAAGTCACTGCCTTTAGCATTCGCACCACACATTGCTGCAGCCAACCACACAACATTGTTTTCACTCGTGCCAGCATCCCCTCTCACCATCACCGCACCATCATCAACTGCCCCACTCTCTTTCCCTCCTTTCCTAAAAAACCTCTCTCCTATCTCCCTTCTCCACTCTCCCCTTTTCCTTCCTCCTCTCCAGCATCTCGTGTCTTCAATCGCTCTCGCTGTCCCAAGTTCCCCGTGTCTCTCGTGGCGCAAGCAACGGGTGGGTGGAGTGAGGATAGCAGCATTGGCAGCAGCAGCAGTGGGGGGCAGAGGTACAAGGCAGTGAGTCCTCTCGATGAGCGCCAGGTGTGGTTCGTTGTGAGGCGCGGCAACGACGAGCTTTCCACCGACTTCCAGAAAGAGGTGAGCGAGCTCTGGATACTTCTCCTCTGCCCTGTTGCTGATGTTGCTTCGGCTACTGCCGCTGTTGCTGCGGCAGCTGCAGCAGCCGCTACCACCAATGCCGCTGCAGCAACAAGTTTAGTTCCGATACTAGTATTGCGTCGTGCTGTGCCCCTTACAACTTGCCCTTGTAATCCCCCGGCCTCCTTGTGGATGCATCCTTCCCTGCCCAGGTGGCCACGCTTTGGTCCATCCGCCATACCAACCTGCAGCGACTGCTGGGGTATTGCTGGGAGAAGCGTGATACTGCCCTTGACTGTGTCCCACCTGCTGCTGCTGCTGCTGATGCTGCTTCTTCTGATGCTGGTGCTGCTGCTCCTGCTCCTGCTGCTGACAGTGCTAAGAGTGCTAATGCTGACAGTGCTAAGAGTGCTAATGCTGACAGTGCTAAGAGTGCTAATGCTGACAGTGCTAAGAGTGCTAATGCTGACAGTGCTAAGAGTGCTAATGCTGACAGTGCTGAGAGTGTTAGTGTTAAAACTACTGCTGCTGCTGCCAGTCATGCAGTGGAGCAAGCAGAGGAGCAGGTGCTAGTGTTTGAGTGGGTGCCAGGAGGCAATCTGCACAGCCGCCTCGTTGCAGGTACGTTCACTCTTGGCCCCCCTGCCCTACTCTCTCCATGCCTGTCCCTCCTTCCATCCATGCCTCTGCCTCTCTGCTTGCTTATTGCACTCCAGCCTCTACCGGTGCTTTTCTGATCTACTGTGCCACACCACTCATTCCCCCACCACCTTTGTTGCTCCATGCTCTCCCTGATTCCTTTCGTTATCTTTCCCCACCTCCCTTTTTCTCTGCCATCTTGCAAGGTTCCCCTCTGCTCCCTTCTCACCCCCTCTGTTCCCCTCTGTTTTCTGTCCCTACTGTCCCTTCTCCTCCCCTCTCTCACCTCCTCTCCCCCTCTTCCCCTCTCTCAACCCCTCTCCCCCTCCTCCTCTCTGTCCCTCTCTTGTTCACTCTGCCCCCATCCTCCTCCGAAACACCACTTACTTCCTCCCCAATCCGCCATGCAGAGGGCTGCGCACCCCTGTCCGCGTGGCAGTGTCTGGATGTGACAGGCGGTGTGCTGCGGGGGCTGAAGCACATCCAGAGCCATGGGGTCGTGCATGGCCGCATACACCCACGCAACATCCTGCTCGACACCGCCCTGCAGGTGAGCTGCCATCTGCCCGGCAGGAAAAGTCTAAATTGCGATGCAGGTGTAGTCCCATTCTCCCAAGACCGTCTTTCCTCACCTCAGCTGCGTCTCTCCCCCATTACATTCTCATTCTTCCTTCCCCTCGTCTTCCCACTACCCTCAGCCTGTCCTGGCTGGTTGCATGGCCGTGAAAATGGGCGATCCGCTCCCATCCATTCCCACGGCAGCAGCACCTGCAGCACCACCACCAGCATCAGCAGCAGCAGCACCACCATCACCAACATCAGCAAGTCCACCAGCAGCATCAGCTTCATCGCCAGCGCCAGCAGCATCAGCAGCATCAGCAGAAGCACCACCACCCACAGCAACTCCATCAGCATCAGCGCCATCAGCAGAGGCATTGGGGGCATCAGCAGGGAGGGTGACAGGGCCACCTGCCAACCATGCATACATGGACCCAATCCTGCATGCCTCTGCTCGCACCACGCCCTCCACTGATGTTTACAGGTCCGTGCCGCTCAGCTGGAACTACCTTTCTTCTGATGCACGTCTACCTGTCTCCCTCTTTCTTTTCCCCTCTCCCCGCCCTCCCTACCCGACCCCTCTCCCATAGTTTACTCTGTGCGTTGAACCAGTTGTTTCCTCTGCCCGTCCGAACCGAGTCAAATGCCCCCGACTCAAAACCAGGAACCGTTTATTCTGACGCTGAACGCATGTGCTTGTGCCGCATCTAAACCAGCTGAATGTCCCTTCCTTCTCTCCTCCTGCCCTTACTTCTCCAATCTCCCCCATGCCCCCATGCCCCTATGCCCCCATGCCCCCATGCCCCCCCACCCCCACCTGCCAGCATTGGTGTGGTGATGCTGCAGCTCATCACTGGACGCCCCGCCCTCATACCAAAAGCTGCTGGCAACGACTGGCAAGACAACAACCCTGACGCCGAGGGTGGTGGTAGTAGCAGCAACAGCAGCAACAGCATCGGCACAAATAGTTACAACAGCAGCAACAGCATGAGCAGCGGCTTTAGTGGCAGCGGCAGCAGAAGCGCAGTGCACATTCGGGACTGGGTGAGTGCGGCGTGGACCTCTCCCAGGCGTGTTCTTCTTGTAGTTTCTGATTCCATGCCATGCATGCAGAGCTGCTGCAGGAAGGTGGTCCCGTGCATGTATGCACACTGCACATGGACTCTGCACATGGACTCTGCACACGCTCTCTCCCTCTCTCTCTCTCTCTCTCTCTCTCTCTCTCTCTCTCTCTCTCTCTCTCTCTCTCTCTCTCTCTCTCTCTCTCTCTCTCTCTCTCTCTCTCTCTCTCTCTCTCTCTCTCTCTCTCTCTCTCTCTCTCTCTCTCTCTCTCTCTCAAATGGCCCTTTCATTGATTGATACAAGGTCATACAGGCATGCAAGGTAAAAGCAACGCACGGAGGTCTAATGCATATCCCTCAAACTCCGCACACATCGACTCTACCCCCCCCCCACCCCCACCCCCCCCCCCCTCTAAGCTAGGTCCAGAGCAGTCCCCTAGGGACGGGGCCTCACCCACTGGTTCTAGCAGTGGGTTTTCTACAGCAGCTGCTATGCTGCACTTTTCTAGGTAGCCAATCGACTGCCCCCTTTGAAGAGCCACCGACCACCGCTGCCGGTATTGGTGTAAGAGCTTGGCAGCTTGGTAGGAGGTGGGCTCGGCGTTAAAAAACCGCCTTGCAGCCGTCTCCGCGAGCAGTTTCAGAAAATCCACCGTCTCTGGGCATGGGCACCCATACGTCTCGACCGCTAGTGGGAAGAACTTCACCCACTCTGGGCGGTCCGTGTAAAGTCCGTGCTTTTTGTCTGCCGCTTCACGTGCAGCCCACCCCGCCCCTTAGATGCGTTCTCGTCGCGGGTACTGATGGGGTCTGTCACCGTCACATCACAGATGTAGACGGCATCTGTTGAGCGGCAGCGTAGGGCCAGATCCGCCTTCTTCTCCTGCACTGGGCTGAAGGCGGCAGATTCGATGTGCACCATGAAGCCGGCATCACGCGCCATTCGTGCGCACTCGTCCCTGAGCTCATGATGTGTGTTTGTACGCCCCCCCCCCCCGTCCTGCAACGCAGCAGGTGGTTCGGCAGCCTCTTATCGGGAATCTCCACCTTCTTTGCGCAGTTGCAAGCCCCGCGAGCCGCGAAGGGGAGCCCCAGCCGAAACTGGAGCGCGTTGGCATAATGAGGAGCCTCGAGGTGTAGCGCACGGTGCAGAGGCACCGAGTTTAACCAATCTCCCGCCCCATAGCCCGACAGGGACAGCATCCGCTGCGTATGACCATTATTCGGGTTCAAGCTCATCCCCCTCGCCTCCTCCACCTGTACGGCGTAGCGCTGTCCCTGGATAGCAGTGGCCAGCCCGTGCTGCATCTTTCCTGCGGATGGGGCTGCTCTCTCTGCCTGCAATGCTTCCTGCGCCGGCAGAGGCAGCTCCGCCTCGCATTCCGCTAACCACTCGGTCAGGGGGGAGGACTCGGTGTAGGGCCCGCACATCAGCTCGCGTGTGGCCTCCAGTGGGCCGGTGCAGCCGCCGTGCAGGGAGTCAAGTAGGAGCTGGGCCTGCGTGTAGCTGGCGAGGAAGCTGTAGCCTCCTTCCACGGAGGGGTCTATCTCTCTCTCTCTCTCTCTCTCTCTCTCTCTCTCTCTCTCTCTCTCTCTCTCTCTCTCTCTCTCTCTCTCTCTCTCTCTCTCTCCCCTCTAATGCCATTGCACAATACACATGAGTGAACCTAACACTCCACATAACGGGTGCGTTCTCCTCTTTCGATCCACAACAAACCCTCATGCATCCATCTCCTCCCTTCCATTCCTCCTTCACCCACACCTGTGCATGCAGGCACAGCACCTGGTATCGCGCAACATGACAGCTCAGCTTCGCCCTCCCCACCTGCCGTGGGCACCCGATGCCATTGTGCTGCCTATGGTGCGCCTCGCCCTCTCCTGCACCGCCTCAGACCCCCTCTCCCGCCCCACTGTCACCGACCTGCTCCGCTCCATCAAGGCTCTCAAGCGCTCCCTCTCCGCCCCCTCGCGCCCTGCCCTGCCGCCCAACGCGGGGGGCAGCGGGGATGGTGATATGGCCAATGCTGCAGCCGGTGGGGGGGCTGGAGAGAAGCAGGGTGAGGAGGGTGGGGATGGACTTTCTGGGGGGTTCAGTCTGAATGCACTAGATGCAAAGTTAGACTGGCTCTTGGAGGAAGAAGGTAGTGGTAGGTATGTGGTGTAGAAATGTCAGGGTACGTGTGGGACAAGAAGCGTCACAAATTTTACACATCACTTTTCCTGCGTTTCTGCTCCCATCTAGGTTCACAAAAGTATATTTTTGCAAACGCTAAATGCTAAACAGCACTCAACCCCACCCCCACCCAAACTACTTGAGGACAGCCACCTAAGATATCTTGGAGCATGGAAGCCAATCAAACGTGTACATTTCTACAGTGTTCATCTGAAATATTTACACCCTGAACGGAAGCTTTGCCGAACCCTCGGGATCTCCCCATGATATCCCCTCCCTACTCATGTACTCACGAAGTGAGAAATAGATGAACGAGAATGGAGAGGGAAAAGGATTGACTAACACATCAACCCAGTGACATGGAGGCCATGTCGAAGCGAGCGACGCTCATCCCGAGAGGCTCTTTAGGAGCCGTTTTTTCGGGATGTGGCTTCCCGCGGGAAGATGCGGATTGGCGGAAAACGGCGGGGGACGCATGCGAATGGCGGGGCTATTCGAATTCGCGGCGTGGAGGTTTCCATGCTTTGCGGGCTCCGCGTGCGCCGCCGCTGCTGTTGGTTGTAGCGGCAATGGCGATTCTTCCGCACACCCATAGCGCAGTTCCGTTACAAGCGTCCCAAGGTGGGGGTTGTGCAGTGGTGCTGCGCGGTAGTAACGTGCACTGCCGGTGTGTGCGTTCAGCCAGCATGCAGCGGCATGCAGCCTCATTCCTCAGCGGCCGTTTCAGAGCCCGCCACTGAGCGGACCACCCCATCAGCGTGTGTTTTTGGAGAATTCTTAAAAAACACACGCTGCATCAGAGGCCGCCACTGAGTGGGCCACCCCATCATCATGATGATCATGATCCCATCACGACCGTTTCGCGTTATGCCGCCTTGGCTGTCCGTTACACGGCGTGTCACCCGTGCTATCTGCGACGTCCGCCCCAATTTTCCTGCGTGAATGCCCGCTTTGCCCTGCCCACGTTGCTTGCCGCAACCTCCCGTAGTAAACGCCTCACTTTCCAGCAATTGCCCGCGTTGCCCGCGTTTCCCGCGTTGCGTGGCAGCGGCGGCGCTGCAGGAGTGCGCGGCGGCGTGGAACAGAACCTTCAGCGGGTGGACGGCAGGCGCGGACTGCTTGCTAGCTGACAACATCATATGCAATGCAGAGGGGAAGATCGAGAGCCTGTGAGACACACAGCGGACCCCGTGCACTGCCAGCTGCGTGCTGTGCGCTCTGCGGTGCGCCTGTATGCCGTGTACTGTATGCTGCGTGTTGTGTTCTGTGCTGCGATTTTTAGCTTCGGATTGGTGGCCTCGACAACAGTCTTGTTTTGAATGCATGTGACTGACTGCTTCTCTTGAGCCCCTACCCTTTCATACACACAAGCACGCACGCACGCGCGCACGCACGCACGCACGCACGCACGCACGCGCGCACGCACACACCCACGCGCGCATCCGCACGCACCCGCACCTGCGCGCACACAAGCGGGCCTTCCCTTCCATCCCCACCCCACCATGGGCGCAGGAACATCATGGGTTTGGACCTGAACGGCCTCATCCCCACCAGCATCGCCAGCCTCACCGCACTCACCTTCTTGTGCGTGTCACAGTGGCAGCCCTTTCACTGTTGAGGCGCGGCGCCTAGAAACGACGAGAGTGACGCAACCTTTTGGCCGGGCAGAGGGAGCCGCACGCGTGGGTGCCCTATCGTTAGAATGAGAATCGGCAGGCGTGCGTGCAGCAGGAGACATGGACACAGCACCAAATGACAACCAGGAGGGAGGCTATTGTCATGTCATGCGATAGAGACGGCCCATTCCGCAGCCTTGCAATCCCATGGCCGCTACAGTTCAAAATACCTACGCCAGACTCTAGAGGGGCGGTAGGTGACTCAATCAAGGGAAGAATAAGCACGATTGATGCATAGTCATTGCTTTCCCCCCCTTGCTTGTACCTGCTGTGAAACTGACTTTTGAGTCGACTCAAAAGTCAAGTCGGTAGGTGACTCAAGGGAAGAATAATCACGATTGAAGCATTGTCATTGCTCTCCCCCCTCGCTTGTACCTGCTATGAAACTAATACGAAGGACCGTTCGAGGGTGGAGGGAAATAAAGAGTGGAGTTGCAGAGCGGTGCAGTGTGATGCCATGCTGTGTAGTGCAGTGCAGTGCAGTGCAGTTTCGGGCGCAGAGCAGGCAGGGAGGATGATGGTGGAAAGTAAAGGCTTGTGTCTTTCATTCTCTTGTTTTTCAAGTACCACCCCCGCTCCCAGCAAGTCGCACTTACTGCAGCTTCGGATCCTATGAAGCTTCGCTTTCACTGCTCACTCTCTTCCAGCTATTTTCTGCCCTCTGCCCTCTGCCCTCTGCCCTCTGCCCTCTGCCCTCTGCCCTCTGCCCTCTGCCCTCGGACCCTCTGCCTTCGCCCTCCCTCTAGTGGCGCCTCCTGGAATAATCTTTCCGGGTCCATCCCGTCTAGCATCACACGACTCTCTCAGCTAAGTGTTCTGTGAGTGATTTTCTCCAACCCTCAGGATCTTTTTAAATATTTTTTAATACAAAATCGTTAAGGCTACGGCAAATTGTTCTAAGAAGTATCATGGTAATATTGCTGACAACTTTGTCCCATTTTGTTTTGTCATAAGCCGAGCACCTTCGTTGAGCACCTCAGTTGACATTTCAAAGTGTCAGCTTCTGATTGGTCGAAATTAGGGCACATTCGAATTTCTGGCCAAAATTCGCCTGTGCAGTCTCATCTGACCCTGCGCAGACGAACACCCGCGAACTTCTGCACGAGCTGCGCAACTTGTACATGCGCACGGGAAGTCTGTGTTGCACTCGCGGATGCTTCGATTACTCTTGCATGGATTCCCTTGTACACCTCGTTTACAGGCAACCCTCGTACACCTGCAGAAGGTCGGCTTAGAATGGCTGCTACCACTATCCGCCTGACGATCACAATCATGCATGCCACACACCATATGCCACATGGTATTATACGTCATGTGCTGCATGCATGTCGCATCACATCACACCCATGCCGCATGGCACATGTCCCATGGCAGGAACTTTGATCGAACCCTGATCTCCGGACCCATTCCCTCCTTCATCGGGGCACTCAAGAGCCTCAATACTTTGTAACTGTGCATGTGTGCTGCTATGCATGGGCGCTGCTACGCATGTGCGCTGCTATGCAAGCATGCGGTCAGTCAACAGCATCACAAGTGTCACAATCTGTTATCCCGTGTCTTGTCAGCGGTTTTTGAGATTTCTCAAAATGCACAACTGTCATGATCTGCAATCCCGCGCCTAGCACATTCACTCCACCCTCTCCTCTCTCCATGCTCCACACCCCTCATATCCCTTGGTCAGGTCGATATCCCATTCCGGCATTTCAGGAACCATCCCCTCCACCATCTCCGGCCTCTCCTCTCTTAGCTCTCTGTCAGTGCTCTCCATCCCTCCCATCCCTCCCATCCCTCCCATACCTGCCTTTGGGTCCTTCTCAACTCTGCTCACACGCCTTACAGTCTGGGTAAAAAATATCAAGCGTTTTCTCACTGGAGGTGTTTTCTCACACTACCCTCTCATGCTTCAAAACGAGCTCAAATGAAAGGGTATAAGGCAGGAAAAAAGATGCCAGTGACAATGCGCTGCATGCCAGTGACTTTTGAGTCGACTCAAAAGTCAACTCCATTCTTCTTCTCTGCATTCTACCATGCGTGCATGTGACTGCCGTCGTCCACTTGGCAATGCGCTGCATGCCAGTGACGCGGCCAACACTCGCCTCAGCGGCACAATCCCCAGCACTATTGGTCAACTCGCCAGTCTCGTGTACTTGTATGTGGGGGGGGGGGGAGGGGGGGGGGGGGGGGGGGAGCACACACACTCACACACACGCGCGCGCGCGCGCACACACACACACACACACACACACACACATATGCACGCACACCACCTTACGAGTACGAACAGTTGTGTGCACACAGCATGTGAGTCACCTCACTCACTCTCTTCTGCTCAAGCCTGTCCACTTCCGTCCATGACTACTGGTTAACTCCACCAGTGACCAACTTTCGAAATTCTCAGACACTCAAAATGATGTTCTGTTCGTACCAGTGTGCCATCATGACTCTCCTTGTTCCTGTCCTGTTCCTGCTGCCTGTCCTGTTCCTGCTGCCTGTCCTGTTCCTTCTGCCTGTCCTGTTCCTTGAGTCCCTCGCCCCACAACCGCCCTGTCTCAGGACCATCGCCAACACCAACGTGTCTGGCTCGCTGCCAGCCTCCCTTGGTGCTCTCCCCAAGCTCGCTCAATTGTCAGTCCCCTGCGTTCCCTCTAACCTGCACTACATGGCATCCTGCATTCCCATCACAACGCCTACGCATCTCTGGCCAATTCTCCTTGCGTTTTATCCCTGGCACAGAACTCCACACTCTTCCCCTCTACTCTCCCCCCTACACGCCTGCCTACAATCTCTTCTGTTCCAGATACATGCCTGCAGGGGTGACGTGCGGCAGGGCTGGCAGCAGCTGTGGGATTCAGCAGAACGCCTCCTCCTTCTTCTGCCGGGCTCTCTGCTCTGACTTCTGTGCCTCCTGCATCCCTCTCAACGGTGAAAAGTGAATGGCTCTGCATGCCTCTGCCTGCCTGTGTGGCTCGCAATGCAGATGGGATGGCTTCTCGTGTGCCTTTGTGATTGTGGTATGTGACTGGCATCATAGCTTCTGGCCGTCTTCAAGAAACTCGTCAGTCTTCAAGGCATTCATCAGATATGCCATCTGAAAGTTTGTATTGGCATCACAGCTCCCCATCACAACAACTGCTCTCAACCTCAACAACCCCTTCGCACCGCATTTTCCTTCCCACCTTCTCTCCCAACAGGCCAACGCCGCCACCCTCCTCCCCCTCCTCCCCTCTCGCCTCCTCTCCCTCCCAGCCTCGCTCTCCTGAGCCCCCCACCTCCTCCTCTCTCCTCTGTTCTTGCCGTCTCCTATCCACTCGCCTCTCCTCCTGCTCCACCGCCCTCCACCGGTTTGCCAACCTCTGCATTCGTGGGGATATCCGTGGGAGCGATTTTTCTTCTTGTGGCGGCAGCTGCTGCTACTGTCGTGGTTGTGGCGTATGTGAAGCGGGGAGGCCAAGGAGCGGAGTTACACAGCCACTAACAGCCTCAGGTAAGAGCAAGTTCAGTACTATGCCACGACTCTACAAGTTATTTGTGTGTGGGAATCACTTTTGAGAATTCTCAAAAGTGTCAAGGCTGGCATAAGGGAGGGGTATACGTCACTTATGGTGGCTCTGGTGGGGTGTCGCTTGTCCGTGTTTCCCATGATCTGTCTTTATCTGCTTTCCTATCTGCTTTCCATGCACTGCTGCCACCCTTTCCGCTACTGCTGTTGCTGCTGCTGCTGCTGCCGCCGCCACCGCCACCGCTGCTGCTACCGCCACAGCCCCTTCCGCTGTTTACTGCGCACACCATAGTTCCTCACACGTTGCCTGTCACCGCAGTCAACATTCGCCCCACACACTGCTGCCGTTGCAGCCACTGCCAGCCTCACCCACCTCTCACACACCTCTCACCCACCTCTCACACACCTCTCACACACCTCTCACACACCTCTCACCCACCTCTCGCACACCTCTCACACACCTCTCACACTCCTCTCACCCACCTCTCACACACCTCTCACACACCTCTCACACACCTCTCACACACCTCTCACACACCTCTCACCCACCTCTCACACACCTCTCACCCACCTCTCACACACCTCTCACCCACCTCTCACACACCTCTCACACACCTCTCACCCACCTCTCGCACACCTCTCACACACCTCTCACACTCCTCTCACCCACCTCTCACACACCTCTCACACACCTCTCACACACCTCTCACACACCTCTCGCACACCTCTCACCCACCTCTCACACACCTCTCACCCACCTCTCACACACCTCTCACCCACCTCTCACACACCTCTCACCCACCTCTCACCCACCTCTCACCATCATCTTACCATCAGCTTCCACACTTTTCCCTCTCTCCTCTCTCCTCTCACCCCCCTCTCTCCTCTCTCCTCTCTCATCTCCCCCTCGCCTTCCTCCACGTCAGCATCCCGTGTCTTCGGTCGCTCCCGCTGTCCAAAGTTCCCCGTGTCTCTCGTGGAACAAGCAACGGATGGGTGGAGTGAGGTAAACAGGGTGGAGGAGCAGGGGTGGAGCAGCATCAGCGGCAGCAGCAGCAGTGGGGGGCAGAGGTACAAGGCAGTGAGTCCTCTCAATGCGCGCCAGGTGTGGTTCGTTGTGAGGCGCGGCAACGACGAGCTTTCCACCGACTTTCAGAAAGAGGTGAGCGAGTTGTAAGAGTTCTCCACTGCTGCTGCTGCTGCTGCTGCTGCTGCAGTGGCGGAGGCCGTTTTGGTGCCTCTTACAACTTGCCCCTGTCTGTATTTCCCACCTCCTTGTGCGTGCGTCCTTCCCCGCCCAGGTGGCCACGCTTTGGTCCATCCGCCATACTAACCTGCAGCGACTGCTGGGGTACTGTTGGGAGAAGTGTGGCAGTGCTGACAGCACTAAGAGTACTGCCTCGCCTGCTGCTGCTGCTGCTGATGCTAGTGTTCATTGTGCTGCTGCTGCTGCTGTTGCTGCTGCTGCTTCTGGTCATGCGGTGGAGCAAGCAGAGGAGCAGGTGCTAGTGTTTGAGTGGGTGCCAGGAGGCAATCTGCACAGCTGCCTTGTTGCAGGTAGGTCCACTTGTGGCCCCCTCCCCCCCAACTAACTCTCTCCATGCCTGTCCCTCCCTCCATGACTACGCCTCTCTGCTTGCCTATTGCACTCCAGCCTCTGCCGGTGATTGTCTGCTTTTCTCAAACAGAGCACTCATTTTCCTCCACCCACTTTGCCCCGTGTTTTCCCCACCACACCTCTTACTTACTTCTCCTCACCTCTGCCCCATCCTCCTCCGGAACGCCACTTATTTCATCCCATCTCCCTGAGGGCTGCGCGCCACTTACTTCATCTCTGTCTGTTTACCCCTTTTCCCTATGTCAACACTGTCCTCATGCAGAGGGCTGCTTGCCCCTGTCCGCGTGGCAGTGTCTGGATGTGACAGGCGGTGTGCTGCGGGGGCTGAAGCACATCCAGAGCCATGGGGTCGTGCATGGCCGCATACACCCTCGCAACATCCTGCTCGACACCGCCCTGCAGGTGAAGTGCCTACCCAGTTGCCAATCGTAATGCACGTGAAGTGAATCATAGGTGAAGTGAGGTGCAGCTGTAGTCCCACCTGCCGTTTGGTAGAAGTGCCACTTGTTTGCAGGTGCAGTGACACATAGGTGCAGTGACACTCACCGGTTTTGCCACACACATTTAGCTTTTTTTCCCATGCTCTCAACTCCGTTCCTCCTCATCCCATCAAACCATCAGCTGCGTCTCTCCCTTGAACCCCTGCATTCCATTCACACCGCTTCTTGCCTCTCGCCTCTCCACTAACCCGTACCCATGCCTTCCCCTTCAGCCTGTCTTGGCTGGATGCATGGCCGTGAAAATGGGCGACCCACTCCCATCCATCCCCACAGCACCACCGCCAATAGCAGCAGCAGCATCAGCATCAGCATCAGCAGGAGAATGGGTGGCATCAGCAGGGAGGGTGACGCGGCCACCTGCCAACCATGCATACATGGACCCAATCCTGCATGCCTCTGCTCGCACCTCGCCCTCCACGGACGTTTTCAGGTCCGTCCGTGCTGCTTAACTTCTGAGACGTCTCAACAACCGTCTTGCTCAACTAGAGTCACCATTGCGGGTTCTCAAATGCGACTCACGGTGCCTCTCCCACTAACGAATTTGAATCCACTTGAAGATGGGAGCCGCCACATGTTGCTGCCGCTCACATATGATGCTGCGCACACATGTTTGTTGCTGCTCAGCTCAACTCTCATTCGAATGCCCGCCTCTCCCCTGCTCCCCTCCGTGGCCTTACTTCGGTCCTCCCGCTCCTACTTTCGTCTCCACTCTCCTCCATCCCCCCATCCCATCCCCCCATCCCCCCATGCCCACCCACCTGCCAGCATTGGAGTGGTGATGCTGCAGCTCATCACAGGACGGCCCGCCTTGATACCCACCGCTGCACGCAACGACTCTCAGCAAGGCACCAGCTCTGGCAGCGGGGGTGGCGGCAGTAGCAGCAACAGCAGCAACAGCATCAGCACAAACAGCTACAGCAGCAGGAGCAGCAGCAGCAGCAGCAGCAGTAGCAGCGGCACAGTGCACATTCGAGACTGGGTGAGTGCAGTGTGGGCTCCCCGGGTTTTAACAACTGGATAGTGATGCTTTGAAAACTAAAAGCAAGGCGGCTGAAGAAAATCATGGGAGGGCTGAAAAGCATAAATATTGACTTTATAGTGATAATATCCAAGAAAGATAAACTACACTCCACCATACACCAGCTGCATATGCACAATTTATGCTTTGCTGACTACTCGTTCAGGGCCACGAGTGAGCCTAACACTCACCAGCCAAGCCACGCCACGCTACAACACCGGTGCGTCCTCCTCTTTGCATGCACAACAAGCACTCATGCATCCATCTCCTCCCTTTCATTCCTCCTACTCGTCGAAAATTTCCTTCCCTGTGCAGGCACACCACATGGTATCGCGCAGCATCACGGCCAACCTGCGAGCGGCCCACCTGCCGTCGGCACCCGATGCCATGGTGCTGCCCATGGTGCGCCTCGCCCTCTCCTGCACCGCCTCAGACCCCCTCTCCCGCCCCACTGTCACCGACCTGCTCCGCTCCATCAAGGCTCTCAAGCGCTCCCTCTCCGCCCTCCCACGCGCTGCCCTGCCGCCCAACGCGGGGGCCAGCGGGGATGGTGACATGCAGAATGCAGCAGGTGGTAAGGGTGCTGCAGAGCAGCAGGGTGGGGAGCATAGGGATGTGGTTTTAGGGAATTTCAGCCAGAATGCGCTAGATGCAAAGCTAGACTGGCTCCTGGAGGAAGAAGATAGTGGTAGGTTTGTGGCCGATTCGTAGATTGAAAGTGGGGCCTGCTTAAAGCAAACGTATATATTTCCAACCAGGAGAGTTTAATAGCGATGTCCCTGAGCGCATTCCCTTCTCTACTGCTGCTCATGATGCTCCCCTGAGCGGTTGGAGGGCAGGGCGCTGGCCTCTCGATATCAGGGTAAAACACCCTTATGGCCCTTACTATAAGGGTGGGTTTAGGTGATCACCCTTGTTTTTAAAAGTTGTTTTATGACACACCCTTAGCAGAAAAAGTGTTCATTGTGTTAACACTGATATTTAAGACAGGCCTGGTGTACTCGCCTTGATGACCAAGACTAGTGTCGTGTACCACCCTGACGCGATTTGACGGGGGGGGGGGGGGGGGGGGGGGGGGGGGGGGGTGGGGGGTGGGGTGGTACTGACGCGATTTGGGCCGTGATTAGCGGCGTTTTGCCTGAGTCAGCAGATGTGCGCGGCGCCACTGCCACTGACCCGTCAACTGAACCTGGCTCACCTGCAATTTCCCCACCTGGCAATGCCGCGCAGCGCCACACACACCTGCTTCGTGCAGGATGTGTGTCCTGCTTGGAAGCATCTTCTTCCCTCCCCAGCAGGCCCCCACCCACCGACCAGTCTCTCCCACGCACCCAACCCAGTCTCTCCTCGTTTCACTTCTCCTGTACTGCCTCCTCGCTATCTCGTCCGGTCGAGGGTTTGCAAACCACCCCACCACCACGCTCTCACACAGCTAGTGTAGGCCTAGCTCCTGCATCCATCCCTCTTGCCCTCGCCATGGCTGCTGACGAAACCACCGATGGTGACGACGAGGCACGTCGTCACCAGCAAAAATCACTCCCGCGTACGGGCCTCAGCTTTCTACAAATCCCCGCTAAGAAGCTGTTAGATCCGGAGCCCGTAGTTGCTTCAACAGAGGATGAAGCCCACGTGGATGAAGCGGGGCGAGACTTGCGGTCACCCGAAGTTTGCACTACCACGACGGAACCTGAACCTCCAGAAGTGACGGCTCCAGAAACAGAGATTGGCGATGCGGCTGGCGACTCTGCGAACAAGAAGCGCAAAGAGTCAAGCAGTGGCGGTGGCAAGCCGTGGTGGCGACAACCGAAGCCCTCTTCGAAGCGGTCGGCCCGTCCAATCCGACGAGTGGAGGACGCGGGGAGTGACGACGACGAGGATGACGATGGCCTGCCGACTGTCGAAGAGATGGCCCGTTACCCCGAAATCGCTTTCGCTAAAGCGCATAAGCGATTCAAGACGTCGTGGGAGTCTTTGTTTCCGTGGCTAATTTTAACTCGTGATGACGTTGGTTTCCCCATTTTGAGATGCAGCACGTGCTTGGAACATGGAGCTGAAGGCGCGAAAACGGCCTATGGCAAGGGAGGCAGTGGAGGGCGTGACATGCAGAAGGGGAGCATCCGGACGCACCAACGGTCCACCGCACACCAGGACGCACACGCCGAGATGAAGTCGAAGTTGAGCCGGAAGCTTCGTCAAACGATGCTGAGCGAGTTCGAGGGCTTGGATCGCAGCACGCATCACATCATCACAGCTCTCAAGACCACCGTGTTCATCTGCAAGTCGGAGGCGCCAATCACCTCGTACGTGGGCACGATCAAGTTCATGGCCGAGCTCGGAGTCCCGAACCTTCCCTTGGATTCCAAGGGAAACTACTTCTCGGAGTAAGTTTCGGGGAACGCGCTGTCGTTGTACTTGTTCCGTTAGAACTGACTTGTTCCGTGCTAACCACTGTGCTTGTATCATGCAGGTACGGTTTCGGGGAGCTACTAGATGCTGCCGCGAAATACATGCGGCAAGAGCAACTGAAGCAGCTCGAGGCGAGCCCGTACATCTCCATTCAGCTCGATGAAAGTACTGACAAGGCGCGCGGCAAGCATATGATCGTCTACGTCCACTTCATGAGGGAGGGAGCGAGCGTCTGTGAGTTCCTCACGCTGCTGACAGTTGACAAAGGTGACGCGGCTAGTCTCGTCGACGTGCTACTGACCCACCTTGACGCCGTGGGCATTGACATGTCCAAGATCGTTGGAATCAGCACCGACGGCGCCAGAGTCATGACGGGCACCAGCAATGGTGTTGTGGCGCGACTCCGCCTGCGGAATCCCTATCTCGTGTCGTGCCACTGCATCGCACATCAGTAAGTCCGTATATGTTAATGGCTTCATGACATGTGTGTAGTGTTGATCATGTACTGCCCACTCACATCAGTCGCTCGTTTTCCTGTTCTGCCTTGAGCAGGGAGGCGTTGGCCGCGAAAGATGCTGCTGAGAAGGTGACGGAGTTCAACATCATAGACCAGGCGGTGCGGAACGTGGCGGAGCAGCTTTCTAGGTCGAGCAACTGGCACCGACGATTCGAGCACCTTCAGGAGTACATCTGCGAAACCAACTTCGAGCTGCAGGGGATCAACGACGTGCGGTGGCTCTCTAGAGGAGAGGCAGTCAAGCGGTTCGCCAAGGTTCTGCCGGCGACGATCGTCCTGCTAAACGATTTCAAGCACGCGCTCTATGAAACGGTCACCTCCTTCAAATTCCACTTCATGCTTTTCTTCCTTGCAGACATTCTTGCCGTGCTCAACGAGCTCAACGCCAAGTTCCAGAAGCAGCAGGTGATATGTGGAGTGTTTTGCTTGTCCTCGTTTGCGGTTGTTTCACTACCATGTTCCCAGTTGTTGTAAGTGGAGATTGTTGTACATCAACCTCTGGCAGCAACTATTCATCCCACCCCCACTCCCAGGTTGACATCACGGTGGTCGCGGGGGAGGTGTCGCTCGCTTGCAGGACGATCGAGGTGCGTTACGTGGACTGCGAGGATCGTTTCGGCAACGATCAGTCGCCCCTGCTCTGCGCGTTCCTGAAGAAGCACGGCAACCCGGAGCACCGCGAAGTCACCGTCAACGGTGTGGACCAGAACGGAGACGCTGCAGAGCACAAGTTCGTGCTTCACGAGCGCAAGTTCCCAGGCCATACGACTGGCGGGGACTACTACTCCTGCAAGGCGGTGTGCCAGGAGTTTGCGAGGGTCTGCGTTGCCCGACTGGAGTTCCGCCTGGAAGACCTCAAGGACCTGGCCGGCTCCAAGCTTTTCCGGCCATCATGCTATCCCGATGACAACGAGGAGCGGATGAAGAAGTGCCGCGAGTGGTTGCGCATGCTTGACCGCATGTTTCGCCACCGCCTCTTTGGTACGCCGCCTGGTTGTGCCTGCAATTTGCTGTCTGCTCTGTGTGTGTGGTTACCTTGGTGTGATGTTAAACACCACACCTCCCATACGCCCCGATCGCCCCTCTCACTGCTCTGCTCTCCCATCCTGGCAGGTGTGTGCTTCAAGGCGTGCGAGAGGGAGCTACCGTTGTTTCTCCACACCATGGACACCAACCACGGCAACATGAGCTTCCATAAGTCGCTCGCGCTCATGCTCCAGTCAACTGACTGGCGGGGAGCCTACCCGAACCTTGTGCAGCTGTGGCAGGCCGTAGCTGTGCTTCCCCTCAGCACGGTGGAGTGCGAGCGCGGCTTCAGTCGCCAGAACCGTATCAAGACGTGGAAGCGGACCTGCCTGGGAGACGCCCGACTGGGCGATCTGATGACTACAGCTCTCCTGCCCAGCGATGGTCTGAACTGGGTGAATGTGGTAGACGTGTTCAATGCCAGCAAGAAGCGCCGTCCGGGCCAGGAGTTTCTGTATTGAGTTGGTATGGTATTTTGCTCCACCATGTAGTCGTGCTGCTGTTATTGTTCTAGTTGTAGGCTTGTAGATGTAGTTCTTTGTTACAACAATACATGATGGTAAGTAAACATATAATGGTACAAGTAATCGAGGTGCACAGCACACTGATGAGCAAGAGTAACACTGCAGCCAACACTGATAAACAAGACTGAGGTGGATGCCCCATCCTTACTGAAAGACCAGCTTTGGCAAACTGCCCTTTCGACCAAGAGTGCTTCCAAACCTATCCAGAGGCCAGGCAGGGCGGTATTTGTATTGGGGAGGGAGGTGGAGAATCTCATGACTGAGTTGACTTGGTGTGTGTTCGATTTACTTTCTTTCGAATAGCGTAATAGGGGAGTGGAGTTGGGGAAATTGGTGTGTGTTTATATTGGGAAGGAATGAGAATCTGGTGACTTGAGTTGCTGCGGTGTGGGTGTGGTGAAAATTTATACCTTATTTTTATAACTAACAAGTATGTATGTGTGGCCAATCCTTCGTATGATGTTACTCTGAGTTAGGTACATCCCACCATATGTCTTGGCAATTGCGCAATTTGCGCACGATTCGGATCCTCGAAGCGCGTGCAGCATTCGAGTCACTGTACACCATGCTACCCACAATCGGTGGTGCAGTGGAGGTATCCCTAGGTCTTTTTTCTTGCAATGCGTATTTCCAGGCTTGGATCCGCAAGTTAGAGTTTTGTTGGAGACAGCCCCGCCTAATTCACTCCTTCATGATCTTCCGGCTTTCGGTGTCTAGTTTTCGCACTACAACATTTTGGCTTCGGCGTCGTTTTTTCTGGACAACCTTTTTGCGCAAGTACGCTGAGTTTCGACCCAGTACAACTTCTCTGATCGCAAATACGCTTCAAAACACCAGGTGCTAAACACCACCCACCTCCTCCAAATCCCATATTAGAGTCTTAGCATGCTGTAAATTTTTCTTGTAATGGAGATTGTCTGAAATGGAGGTGGATTTTTTCTTATATTAGTATTGTCTGAAACTTTGCAGGTGGAGGTTTTGTACAACTACACCCTGAAATGAAAATTTTGCATTACAAAAATCTCCCCAAACATTTGCAACGCCCTAGGGTGAAAGCTTCCTCTCCTCATCTCCTTGCTTGCTACGCTTCCTGGTCTTGACCTTTTTTCGGATGCGCCAAACAATAGTTATGGTTACAACAACCTCAGTGACTGGGTAGCCATGGCGAAGCGAGCGACGCTTATCCCGAGAGGCTATTTAAGCGCCGTTTTTTCGGGATGTCGCCGCCCGCGGGAAGATGTGTATGGGCGGAGAACGGCGGGGGGCCGCATGCGAATGGCGGGGTTTCGCCGTGGATTCGCGGCGTGGGGCCTTTCATGCTTTCCGCGCGCGTGCGCTTGTGTTGGTGGTAGCGGCAATGGCGCTCCTTCCGCACGCCCGCAGCGCAATTCCGCTACAGGCGTCCCAAGGTGGGGGGTTGTGTGAATTGGTTCCGTGCGGTAGCGTGCACTGCGGTTGTGTGCGTTCAGCCAGCATACAGCGGTCGTATTGCCTCATCCCCCGGGTTGGTCCACCCCCATCCCTTTGCGACCGTTGCAATGCCTTCATCCCGTGGCTGTACGTTGCGCGTGTTACCCCGTTCTATCTCCGATGTCCGCCACGCTTCCGCCAAGTTGCCCACATTGCCCGCAATCCCCCCATAGTGAATGCCCCTCGGCTGTAAGTTACGCGTGTTACCCCGTGCTATCTGCCATGTCCGCCGCGCTTCCTGCGTCGCCCGCGCTGCCCACGTTGCCCGCAATCTCCCGTTTCCCGCGTAGTTGCCTCGCTTGGCCGCAGCAATTGCCCGCGTTTCCCGCGTTTGCGTGGCAGCGGCGGTCCTACAGGAGGTCGCGGCGGCGGTGAACATTGCTCCATTCAGCGGGTGGGCGGCAGACGCGGACTGCCTGCTGGCTAAGAAGATCTCGTGCGATGCACAGGGGATGGTCGACCACCTGTGAGACACACACACGGTGTACCCGCGTGCGTGCTCTGCCAGCTGCGTGCTGTGCGCCCTGCGTTGCCCGTTGTGAAAACATTGCGCATCCCCTCTCTCCTTCCTTCCCCCCCCCCCCCCCACACCTCCCCCCTCCCAACTACCCCCCTCCCCCCCTCCCAACAACCCCCTCCCCACCCCTCCTTCCTGCATGTGGCACATGCACACATGCGCGCGCGCGCACACACACACATGCACAGATGCACGCGCGCGCGCGCACACACACACATGCACAGATGCAACGCGCGCGCGCACACACACACATGCACAGATGCACGCGCGCGCGCCACACACACACACACACACACACACACACGCACAAATAGGCCTCCCCTCCCGCTCCCCACCATGGCCGCAGGAACATCGGGGGTTTAAATCTGAACGGCACCATCCCCAGCAGCATCTCCAAGCTCACCGCGCTAAGTGACTTGTACGTGTCGCAGTGGGCCCACTCTCCCCGTGATTGGACTTTAAAGGCGCTCAAAGCGCACTCCCGCCCGCTCGACCCGACCCGGCTTATTGCCTTGTGCTTCTTGCTACGCATCGGATGGAGCGCGAGAGATCGGCTTCAGACCTTATGCAGTTTCGCTCTCACTGCTCGCTCTCTACAGCTGCTGTTCTCTGCCCTCTGCCCTCTGCCCTCTGCCCCGCCTGTAGGGACGTCTCCACGAATAATTTCATAGGGAACATCCCCTCTTTCATCACACTCCTCTCTCAGCTTTATTATCTGTGAGCATCCCTTTCCACTCCTCAGGACCCTTTTACGTACAAAATTGTCAAGGCCATGTATCGTGGTAATATTGCTGACATCGTAAGCCTTGTTTTGTATCCCATTTTGTTTTGTCATATGCCTTGTCTATGTTAAACGAGGTGCGGCATCCCCGCCTGACGATCACAATCGTGCATGCCTCACACCACATGCCACATCACATCTCACCTATGCCACATGCCACGTGTCCCATGGCAGGACCTTTGATCGCAACCAGATTTCAGGACCCATCCCCTCCACCATCACGGCTCTCAAGAACCTAAGAGCTCTGTAACTGTGCATGGGTGCTGATGGGTGCTGCTGTGCATGGGTGCTGCTGCTGTGCATGCATGCATGAGGCCAACAACAGTACAAGTGTCGGCGATCTCCTCACCACCACTGCCTTACACATTCACTCCACACCCCGCTTCTCTCCACGCTCCACACCTTTTGAGACGTCTCAAAATTCACATTCACTCCACGCCCGCTTCTCCCTACGCTCCACACCGCTCATGTCCCTTGGTCAGGATGATGGCCCATACCAACATTACAGGAACCATCCCTTCCGTCATCTCCAGCCTCTCTTTTTAGACACTATGTCAGTGCCCTCCATCCCTCCACCCCTCCCATCCCTCCCATCCCTCCATCCCTCCCATCCCTCCCCCCCTCCCATCCCTCCCATCCCTCCCATCCCTCCCATCCCTCCCAAGACTGTTTCCTGTTGTGCTTATTGGTTGCTTAACCTGCCTTTGGTTGCTTAACCTGCCTTTGGTTGCTTAACCTGCCTTTGGTTGCTTAACCTGCCTTTGGTTGCTTAACCTGCCTTTGGTCTCTGCTCCGCTCACACGTCTTACTGTCTGTCTGAAAAATCCAGGCTAGAGAAGACGACGAGAGAGTCAAAATGGCAAGGTCTGGAACCACAGTTTGAAACAGCAGTTTTAACAGCACCCTCATTTCCCTCTGCATGCTACCGTGCATCCACATGGCAATGCGCTGCATACCAGTGACTTCTCAGACACTCACCTCAGTGGCACTATCCCCGGCACTATTGGTCAGCTCGCCAACCTCGCTTACTTGTATGTTGGGAGGTGGGGGGAGGGGGAGGGGGGGGGAGCAGGGGGGGAAGGGGGGGGGGGGGGTTCGATTGTGTGAGCATGCTAAGGGTGTCACACACACATGCATATGGCCTTCGAGTCGCCTCACACTATTCTGCTCAAGCCCATCTGCTTACGTAGAATCGTTTTGTGCGTGTGTGCGTGTGCGTGATATATATACATATATATATATTTCTATATATATATATTTTAACAAATGTAAGTTCATAATTGGAATAGTGATCCGAACCAAATCCTCAGTTCACGGCCCACCTACTCCTCTCATCTGCCTGTAATGTTCCTTCTGCCACTCACCCCCACAACCGCCCTGTCACAGGAACCTCGCCCACACCAACTTATCTGGGTCGCTGCCAGCCTCGCTTGGTGCTCTCTCTAAACTCACTCTATTGTAGGTCCCCTACATCTCACCTCACCCTGTACTTCATCCATCATCCACACATATATGAATAGCACCTACGAACCTTCAATCTTTGGCCAGTTGCCATTCGCTTCCTCCTTTGCACAGCACTCCACACCACACTCTTCCCCGCTACTCTTCACACTTCCCTGCCGTCTCGCCTTTTCCAGAAACGTTAACACAGGGGTGGCATGCGGCAGGGCTGGCAGCAGCTGTGAGATTCAGCAGAACGCCTCCTCCTTCTTCTGCCGGGCTCTCTGCTTCGAGTTCTGTGCCTCCTGCATCCCGCTCAACGGTTGAAAAGCGAATGTTTGTTCATGTCTCTGCCTGCGTGCGTGGCTCGCAGTGCAAATGGGATGGCTTCTCGTGTGCCTTTGTGATTGTGGTTTTGTGGCAGTCGTCACTGCACTCGTTACTTACTCGTCATAGTCGCTAGTCTTTTTCAGCCAACATGCCATCTGTCAGTTCCTTCATATTGCCATGACAGCTCTCCAGAACAACTGCTGCTCTCCCCCTCCACAGTCCCTCCACGCCCCACTTCCCTCCCCCCTCTCTCCCAACAGGCCAACGTCGCAACCTCCTCCCCCTCCTCCCTCTCACCTCCTCTTCCTCCCAGCCTCGCTCTCATGGCCCCTCCCCCCCCTCCTCTCTCCTCTCTACTTGCCGTCTCCTCCGCACTCGCCCCTCCTCCTGCTCCACCACCCTCCACCGCTTTGCCAACCTCTGCAATCGTGGGGATTTCCGTGGGAGCGCTGTGCCTGCTTCTGGCTGCTGCTGCTGCTGCTGCTGGCCGCTGTGTATGTGCAGCGGGGAGATGAGGATTCGAAGCTACAGCCACTTCTAGCAGCCTCAGGTGAGTGCAAGTTCTGCAATGTGCCACGACTGTAAGAGGTATGTGTTTAAGATAGGAACGGAACTTAGAAATTAGGTTTAAGGAGGGCATGGGCTTAGAAGCCTAGGCAAACGATACCGAGAGAAGGTTGTCACCAGGGAGGATTGGAGAAATGGTGAGGGTTGTCACTAAGACGACGCAACTTTTGAGGGTTTCACTAAGACAATCAAGTCGACCCAAAAGTCACCTCGAGAAATGGTGAGGGTTTTACTAAGAGGATGCGAACAAGATATAGGCGAGAAGGCAAGAACAAACGAGCACCACCAAACAATAGGAAATACACTGCAGTAAATCCTACAGGCAGTTATATTACAGAACATATAAGTACATGTTCGGACAGTATGTGTGGCATGTCTGGCAGCCATGACACCCTCCGTCACCGTTTTCACAGTTGCCTGTCTCACCCCCCTCTCACCATCACCACAACCATCAGCTCACCATCGGCTTCCCCACCCCTCTCCTTCCTCCACGTCAGCATCCCGTGTCTTCGGTCGCCCCCGCTGTCCAAAGTTCCCCGTGTCTCTCGTGGCACAAGCAACGGGTGGGTGGAGTGAGGTTAACAGGGTGGAAAAGCAGGGGTGGAGCAGCAGCAGCGGCGGGCACCACTAGCAGCAGCATTAGCAGCAGCAGCAGTGGGGGGCAGAGGTACAAGGCAGTGAGTCCTCATGATGCACGCCAGGTGTGGTTCGTTGTGAGGCGCGGCAACAACGAGCTTTCCGCCGACTTCCAGAAAGAGGTGAGACGGTTCTCACAACAACGAGCTGTGGATGGTTCTCCTCTGCCCTGCTGCTGCTTCTGCCGCTCCTGCCGCTGCTGCCGCTGCTGATCCTGCCGCCGCTGCTGTTGTTGCCGCGCCGCCAGCACCAACGCCGCCGCTGCTGCCGCCAGTGCTGCGTTTGGTGCCAATGTCTGTACCGTGTTGTGCCACTTACAATCTGCCTTTGCATTCTCCCCGTTTCTTCCGTCCCTGCCCAGGTGGCCACGCTTTGGGCCATCCGCCATACCAACCTGCAGCGACTGCTGGGGCATTGCTGGGAGAAGCGAGATACTGCCCTTGACCGTGACTCGCCTGCTGCTGCTGTGCTGCTGCTGCTGCTGCTGCTGCTGCTGCTGCTGCTGCTGCTGGGGCTGCTGCTGCTGCTGCTGCTGCTGCTGCTAGTAACTATATTGCCGGTTCCAGTAGTACTAAGAGTACTAGCGCGGGTAGTGCTAGTGCCGATGATTCTTCTGCTGCTGCAGCTGCTCCTAGCACTGGTGGTGACAGTGCTACAGCTGTCCCTGCTGCTGCTGCTGCTGCTGCTTCCGTTCATGTGACGGAGCAAGCAGAGGAGCAGGTGCTAGTGTTTGAGTGGGTGCCAGGAGGCAATCTGCACAGCCGCCTCGTTGCAGGTGCGTCTATACATGCTCCCACTGCCACGCTTCTCTACCACGCCTATCCCTCTCTGTGTGCCTCTACGTCGCAATATCTCGCTCCATGCCTATGTATGTATGTTACACATGTGTCCCTCCCAAAGCCTATAGATCTCTCCCAAACCTATAAATCCGAAAGCCTATATCTATCTCACTCCCAGAGCCTATATGTTTCACTCAAAGCCTCTCCGTCTTCGTCCTTGCCTGTTGTAATCCACCCCACCCTCTGTCTAGACTTGTCAGATCCTCTCTACCAGACCTCATCATTCTGCACCCTCTCTATCATTCTCCACTCTCCTCCACTCTCCTCCTCACTGCCCCCCACCTCCTCCCCCCATGCAGAGGGCTGCGCGCCCTGTCCGCGTGGCAGTGTCTGGATGTGACAGGCGGTGTGCTGCGGGGGCTGAAGCACATCCAGAGCCATGGGGTCGTGCATGGCCGCATACACCCTCGCAACATCCTGCTCGACACCGCCCTGCAGGTGAGCTACCATCTGCCCTGCAGGTGAACTCCCATCTGCCCTGCGGGTGACGTCCCGTCTGCCCTGCAGGTGAGGTGACGTGCCAAGTTAATTGCCCTGCACGTGAAGTGACCCACGTCGGTGAAGTGGGATGCAGGAGAAGTGAGGTGCAGGGTAAGTGAGATGCAGGAGAAGTGAGGTGCAGGGTAAGTGAGATGCAGGAGAAGTGAGTTGTAGGGTAAGTGAGATGCAGGAGAAGTGAGGTGTAGGGTAAGTGAGATGCAGGAGAAGTGAGGTGCAGGGTAAGTGAGATGCTGGCGTTCATCTCCGCATCCCTTAAATTCTTTCCATTCTCCCACTTCTGCTCTCCTCATCCCACCTACCATCAGCTAGGTCTCTCTCTCCCTGAACCCCCCTGCATTCACGTTTGCTCTCTTTCCTTGCCCCTTCCCTCCCACACTTACTCACGCCATGCCTTCCCCTCAGCCTGTCTTGGCTGGTTGCATGGCCGTGATTGATGAAAATGGGCGACCCACATCCTATCCATCCCCACAGCACCAACCACCAGCACAAACAGCACCAGATGCCGCAGCCGAAGCAAGCAGCAGCAGTACCACCAGCCAGCATCAGCATCAGCAGCATCACCAGCGCCAGCACCATCAGCAGGGAGGGTGACGCGGCCAACCTGCCAACCATGCATACATGGATCAAATCCTGCATGCCTCTGCTCGCACCACTCCCACCACGGATGTTTTCAGGTCCGCGCTTTTCAGCTCAAACTCTTCCTACTCACGATTTTATATCGCGTGGACAAGTCTTTACAACTGTGCTTCTTGCACAGGTTTCTAAACTCCACTCAGCTCCACTCAGGCAAGCGATTCTAAATCGCTTGGTTGCTGTACTCAACTTCTCGCAATCTTGTCTACTGATGCACCTCAAGCTGTCGTCCCTCCTATCCTGCTT